GTCTCTGGCTCATTCCATTCAGTGCAAGTCATCAGAGCAAACTCAGGTAATGACAAAAAATGAACATAGTTAATCGTGTTGTGTTTTGCAATATGGTCGCATGCAGTTATGCAAGGTACATAAACATACATTATACATATAAAGAATTCTCAGTGCATTTATGAATAAATGTAATAAATAAATGTTTTGCATTTTTGTAGTTGGTAGATCATTTTGACTTGAGCATTTTATAAGCAGCTCACATGCTAAAAAAGTGTGAGCACCCCTGCCCCAGACGCTTTATCTTTTAATAGTCGGGCACCTTCTTCACCACATTTGCTTATGCACCTGTTTTGTCTTCAGCGATTGTTTCAGGAGGGTGAACATCTCAGACTGCCGATTGGTTAGAACAAAGTTAGAGGAAAGTATGAGCAGAGGTCCAAAGTTCATCCCTTACTTCAGTGTATTGCCGTATAAATATATGTACATGAGTCAATACCTCTATTTTTGTGGATTAATGTATTTACGTGTATGCACCGCTAAGTTTATACGGCTGTCCATTGCTTTGCTTCCTTGGTCCGTCCTCTGTTTCCTTTTACCTTTCTCCTGCCCCACTGTCACTCTCCCCTCATTTCCACCTCTTGGCACCTCCTCTTAGCTAGTGTGCTGTTGTGCGCACGCGCACCCACACGCCTCAGATCCCTATCTCCTCCTTGTTATTGACTCCAACACCCCAGTTGTTCCCCTGTGCATGGCACAGCCTGCTCACTGCCCCCTTCCCCCACCACCCTCACCTCCCAGGTCTCCCCGGGACCTCTAGGGCAGGCCTCCCGGGCCTATCCTGTATAGGTAGGTACACGGACTATGACATAGCCCCAACTGATTTTTAAAAATGAAAACAGTACATAAATAAAGACTTTTTAAAAATTTTGTTAAAGAGAGAAGAAATATACAAAAATTCTGGGTCGGTTGGCTGGCCTTCAAGACTGTCCCGGAGCTGCCCCACCCGGCTGTAGCACACGCTTGGGGGGCCTGGAACACACGCATGGGGGCTCCTATGGGGCTTCTTAGCTCTACCTTGCTCCGACTGATCTGGAATGCTCCCTTCTTGGTTCGTTCCGTTTTGGGGGGTTCAGACCGCACTGCCTCCCCACCAAGTGAGCCCAGCAATGTCTCTGTCCCAGTCTGCTCCAGTAAGAGGGCAGCGTGACACCTGCTGTGGATGGTTGCCAAGTCGCCTCCGTGTCCCATTAGCTCCCCGCAGGGACATCATCCTCCCAGCCTGGCTTGCCAGCTTGGGGTCCAGTCTGGCTCTCTATCAATCCCTCCCTCCAGGGCTGCCTCTGGGTAGGTGTGGCATGCTGGCCTCTCTGTGGGGAGCTTTCAAAGAGCCCAGCTGTTCAGTACTGATTCGTCCACCGTTCCCCAAGGTATTTAT